ATCTGATATATAGAAAAGGCATGACAAAAATAGTTTATTTCATTTCTTATATTTCACTGAACAACCATGTTGACATGATTCTACAACATTGTTTGTTGTATTGATTGAATTTCATTTGATTGTGTTTGTTAAGTCATATAATTGAGAGAATTGAATTGCATTATTTCTTAAATTAGTTGTATTTCATTAAACGGTATTCGATGAGGTACGTTTGGAGGATTCAATTACACAGTTGCATTTTATAAAATGGTGGAATCACGATATTTGGATAATTTTGCTCCTAATGTTATCGGAATTTGGCTTATAATCCAAATTTTGTAATCTCTATAGAATTGAAAGATATTGTTCTTACACGATCATGTATATGTTGTAAAGACTCAATCAAACACATCAAATGTTTCAAGAGGATACTCGTTTTTTTAAAGAATATTGGTCATTTTCTAACCACGTAAGAGTTGTGTATATAGAAAACACTTTGACGTATAAGTCAAACCAAGTGTATCAACAAAATAATAAATATAGTAACTAATGACTAACATATCTATTATTTATAAGCTTTTTATCTTGATGAGTTTCGTTCATGTGGCTAATCATTTGCATTAGTCTTTAATTAGCTTATCCTTCTAATGATACTTTAATCTTGATGATAATTTAGTCACTATAGTCAACACTTGTCACAGAAGTTGTTTTGGTTAATATATAGTCAGTCAGACTATCATGATATGTCCTTCTACCATAAAAGTTAATTACATTTAAGCGTAAGTGGTCAAAATATATTCGAACAAATGGTACAATTATGTATTATAGAATTGGATTAGGAACTAAACTATGCATTCATGAAATGGTTTTAAAAAATACTCCTCAACATTGAAATAGAAAATTCAATTTCTAATCCAAATTTCAAAATGCCACCGTTTTTTGAGATGTAATTGAATCCTTAATTACAGGAATCAAAATACAATTAATGAATTTCAACCAACATAAGAAATGATGCAGTTGAACTCTTCCAACTATGAAATTCATCAAACACAATTTAATGAAATGAATACACAATTAAATTTACAATTAAATTTGTCAACCATGGTTCATTAAACACAATTTAACGAAGTGCAACCAACACAAGAAAGGATGCAGTTGAATTTTATCCACAACATGGCTCATCATCATACACAACTTAAATAAATGAAAGCAATAAATCATCTACCTTCATGACTCATCAAACAAGTGAATTCGACTATTTTACAATGTCTTTTCTTCTATATATTAGAGGCATAAATGTTCAAGACTTGTCAACGTAATAACTAGCTTTCCTTTTACCTATATAAAGGTATGAAGCAATGTATTAGTACTTAACTTTTCTATCAATAAAGACGTTTTATTTTTATTTTTAGTTTATCATCTTTTTCTATAGCTAACTTTATATTGTTGCTCTTGAGATATTTTATGTTTCAATAGACAATTGAGGTCACCAAAATAGTTCCTTTGTTTTTTTCTTATCATATTTATTACCATCACTTTGCGTTATATTGAATAAAATGTAATGCATTTATTATTGTTCCATTCATGTTGCAATTAGTGTAATGAGTATTGAGTAAATTTCAATTCAATGATGCGTATTTCTACTTTAAGAAATGTTTGGTATGAAAAAAACCGTATTTTGTAGATAAATATGTACTAAGAACCTAAAATGAAAAATTAGATTCATTATAAGAATTTTCATTATAACCGACATAAATAAATTCGTTGATAAATATAAATTTATTAACCATTTATTTGTAAAATTTGTTAGTAAAATTTATCGATAATTTAGAATTTGTGTTATCTCAGTAGCTTGTTTGAAAATTTCATCAATAACTTAATAACTTCTATTATCATCAATAAATTGAGAGCAAATTTTCCAACAAGTATGATGATATTTTTTATATATTAAAAAGAAATGAGTGAGAGAAAGAAAATAAGAAGAATACAAAGAGGAAAGGGAAGAGATGTTGGAACCAATGGCGATGGTGATAATGTCATGGAGTAGTGACAACAATGCAAAGGCATGATGAGGAGGCATGACAAGGTGACAACTAAAATTAGAGGAAGAGAAGGAGAAGGAAGGTGACAACAATGACCATGGATGACAATGACGGTAGTGGAGGTGTGATAAGAAAAAGAGATGAAAGAAAGGATGAAAAAGAAAAAATAAATAAGAAAGAAGAGGAAGAGGATAAAAAGCAGATCTTAATCGCCATTTTCATTAACGGATAACGTTCAAAATTCATAATAATTATTAATTAATGTTTATCAATAAATTTATCAACTATTAATGATAGCTTATTATTATCGAAAAATTTTAAAATTTGTGGACAAATATTTTATTCACCAATAAATTTGAATTACGAATAAATTTTATTCATTAGTAATATATGACTTTTTTTTGGCCATTTATATTTAACGAACAATTTTGTTTTATGAACTATAATGTTGTTGACAGAGAAACCGAGTTAAAGATGACATATGACATGTAGAAATTCACATTATCTGGAAGTATTAATGAGTTGGAATTTAAGTAGTTGGATAAATAATTGTTTAAGTCCATTTTCTTCATTACTAATGTAATTTTTGTACGTATTTTTATTTAAATATTTCACATGAATATTAAAATGATCTAGGTCAATATTTAGTGCTTATAGGCTTTCTAAACCATAATGATAAACAGTGGGATAATGGGGAATCAATTCTAGTAGAAATAAATGCTAGTGGGGATTTATTTTTAAGTGTTAATTAATGGACATTTACTTCATATTGGTATATAAGCTTATGTGCCTTTTGTATGATTTTGGAGGAAGATTTGAATTATAAAAAATAAAATAAAAATTTCCCTCAATTATATAAGAATCAATCTTTTTGTAATTTTGGAGAGATGGATGAATTTAGAAAGAAAATAGAATTTTAGTTTTATGATGACTTAATGAAGTTCTAAATTATAAAAACCTAAATTTAATTTAATTTCATTGACCTAGTAATCGATCCCATAATTGATCATTTATTTTTCTCGTTATTCCAATTATAACAAGAAAGAGATAAAGGAAGAAAAAAAAAAGAGAAGTAAAGAAAAAAAAGAGAAGAAAAATACATAAAATGAGCCTAAGCCAGATCAACCTACTTTATAAAATACTAATTATTTAACAGAATTAAAGTAATACTATTTCTTTAAAACACTTTATATATCAAATCATTATACCATAATAAAAAAACTTTAGGAATATATGATTTGAATTTGAAAAAAGCTTTTTAATTGTATAATTCGGAAAATATCTTTATACTATATCCATAATCACTTTTTATAAAAAAAAAATTACTTTTGGATTTATACCATCTATAAGTTGCTTTTATGCCAAAATGACTTCTAGGTTCATTTCAAAAGAAAAATAAAAACTTTTAAATTATATACGAATGACAAAATGAGTTTGGGTCACGGATTAGATTAAGTTATAAACCTGTTAACTTTTTTTATAAATATAAATTAAAATAAAAAACAATTTAAAAAATTAATTTTGTATATTATATTAATTGGAAAATGAAAATATATAATAATATTACAATTTAAATCATTAACACTTACAAATTAAATTATAATTATAAAATATAATAAAATAAATTATCATATAAAGATAATAACTATTTTAATTTTATTTAATTAAAAATATTAATTAATTAAAATTAAAAAAATTATAATGTACTTTTAAATATATACATATCCCCACCCATACCCTCACATAAACATATTCTCCACCAAAAACCAAACTCTAACTTGAAAAATTCTTAGTTTATATGTGTTATTTGGATGGTATTTGAAGAAGGTGTAATAATGAGAATATCTATAAATACATCTTAGATTCTATATTTGGACACACGATCAACTAGAAATTTTATATTGCTGTCTCCAATTCCAAGGTTGCAAAATGATTTACTTGGTAAATTAGAATCAATTTCTCAATATTATAATGATGAAAGATAAAAATGGTACAAGATAATACATTTATCACTTGGTTATTTCATTCCAATCAATCTCACTTAAATATAACTGAGATTTTCAATTTGAAATATATTTTCTTTCTATTTATGTTTGTCTTAAGGGCCAAATGAAGCATTAACTAGACAAAGTATCAAACTATTAAGGAGAATATTTGATAACAAGCCCAATATTAAAACTCTTATTGGCTTCTAAATTTGAACATTATGTAAAAAGCAAGCAAGAATGGAACAAAAAAATTGTAAAATTAGGATAGATTAATTTATTAGTGACAAACTAACCCTGAAGATTAATTTTTACTTGATGTATCTTTAATAGGTACCATCCTCCACAAAAACATTTTGCAAACTTCTCTTGTTCATAAACATTTTAAATAAGCTATGAAACCTTATACAAGCTTGTGTCAAAATTATACAAAAATAAAATTAAGGAACTTATTTTAATAAACTTTATCAAGAAATCAAATAAATTTTGCAATTAAGACGCAAAACTTTATGTTTTTAAACAAAAAAAAATTGTTAAGAGAGAGATAAAAGAAATTACTTTTCAGAGTAAATTGTAATGTTAAAAAAACAATCTCTCTTTGTTCTTTAAGAATATTCTTAGTACAAACAAAGTTAATTAATAAGAAAGTAATATGTTTGGAAGTGCACAAACTCAAATTCTACATTAAGAATATTTATAACATATGAAGTTAAAGTTTCACATTTGTCTGCCATTCAAATTTAATTACCCAGCATACACTTTACCACATTAAGTACATAATCACTTTTTAATTAATTTTTTTCACATAGATATTAACTTTATAATCACTAGGTGGTTAGCATTTGGTTTTATCGCAAACACTCTGCATTATGCAGGTAACCTTGTTTGAAACAATTTCATCGCGGCTAAGCCCAATTTTGATAAAAGGGTCCATGTGTTGTTTTATGTAACAGGACAAAGAAAATCAATGTTTTTATTTGTTTATGTAACAAGCTTAGTTTGTTGATTTATTAATAATGTCAAAGGTGGAAGCTTCAAATTTCATAGGGAAACTACCCGTTTGTGTCTTTGCAAGGTCGTTGGCCGTTGGCCCTTGTAGCTGCTTCGAACATCATGTCATGTCGCTAACATAACTTTTCCTTCCACCCTTTTTCGATGCTTTTACTCCTCCATTAGACCCTCTCTTTCCTCTTCTCCCTCTCTCACACATTTTCTGAGCTACTGTCTGTGTAATCAATAGTTTCAAGAGTGGAGTGGTATAGCTTATACTGCTACCCTGTGTTTATATTCAGGTAAAGTTATCAGCTTTTCTTTATGGGTGGTGAAAAAAGATTTGTCTTCTTTATTATTGTCAACCTATATAATTTTGAAATTGAAATTTTTTATGATTGATTGTGAAATTGTAATCGATTGTGAGAGGTGTTGATCATGCATCGCACACATTTTCTGGTTCATTTTCTATGTAATCAGTAGTTTCAAGAGTGGACTGCATATCTTGTAGTACTTCCCCAAGTCAATCCTTATGTAAAGTTAGTTGCTTTTTTTTTTCTCTGGGCTCCTTTATTATTGTTACCCTATATAATTTGAAATATTATTTTTTTTTATGGTTGATTGTGAAGGTGTGATCGATTGTTGGGTCCTGATCATGGTGCATAGTTAGGTCAGGAATTTCAAATTTGATTTATGTTTTATTGTTAAGATGACTGAAAGTTTCGTTTTCGGGTGTGTTTTGGTGAAGGGGAATGAGAAGAAGTTGCTAAGCTTGGAAAACTGGTCATTTTTGCTTTGAAGTTGAACGTGTGATGGAGTTTCCTTTCCTTTATCGTTTGAATGTTTGGAGAGCATGTGCAAATATGCGAGTTTGGACCCTTTTCTTACTCCTGCTGCTACTGGAGACTGGTATTGTGTGTTCTAATTCTGACTACTTGGTTGGTCTTGGAAGTTATGACATTACAGGCCCCGCTGCTGATGTTAACATGATGGGGTATGCTAACACCGGACAGACAGCTTCCGGAATTCACTTCAGGCTACGGGCTCGTGCTTTCATTGTTGCAGAGCCAAAGGGGAAGAGGGTAGTGTTTGTGAACCTTGATGCTTGCATGGCTTCACAGATTGTGAAAATCAAACTAATTGAGAGGTTAAAAGAAAGGTACTAGCAGTATATAGTTCAGTTATCAAGAGTTACTGTGACAGAAATTGTGGTGTCTTGAGAAAATTTACTTAAATTTCTGCTTGTAGTAAAATGGATCTGAATGCTCTGTAAGTGAGCAGTTCTCAGAGAGTAAAATGAGCAATCTTAATCATTGATGAGAAAAAAATGGTTGATATACATACACGTACATAACAAATCATGATTGTATAAGATTATCAACTGTTGATTTTTTTCATCAGAGCTAGAAATAGCTGATTTTGCATGTACTTACTTTAGATGAATGAATCAAATCTTTGTAAGATATTTTGATCTCAATAGTTGTGTGATTAAAGTACTATTTCCATTTTGTTTGACAGATATGGTGATCTATATACTGAAAATAATGTAGCCATTAGTGGAATTCACACTCATGCTGGTCCTGGGGGTTATCTCCAATATGTTGTGTACATTATAACTTCTTTTGGATTTGTGCATCAGTCCTTTGATGTCATTGTCGATGGCATTGAAAAATGTATTATCCAGGCCCATGAAAATCTCCGCCCAGGATCAATATTTGTCAATAAGGGTAAGGGATACAACTTGCATACTCTCACACACAGAGCTTTTATATCAATTTATATATCACAGATGGTATTGTGCTTGTGCATACTGTTGAATCATTTCAGAAAAGATGAAAAGCTACAGGAACTGAGTTTAGCTTTGCATTTTGTGTTGCATGTTTTTTAAAGTTTGAAGACAAAAAAGCATATGACCTTAAGTAGGAGGAGGAATTAGAGTTTTCTTATTTTGAATTGGAACATTTGTGAAGTTATTCTTTCAAGACCTCATCACAACTTTCGCGTAGAATTCTTATAAATGAAATCTAGTGTTAATTGCTACTCAATACCACGGCTTGGTTAATAAAAAACCGAACTAAGAAATATGATAAGAAAGACGAAATAAATACGATACACACAGCAGGTGTGAAATAGAAGCGCACAAAGTTTATTTATTTTTTTGCTAATTTGTAGGTATGGTTCAAATTCAATACTAGATCTCCATTGTTGTACTAGTTCTGTTGTAGTATGAAATCACAGGACAAAATGGTTACTGCTGATCTTCTTTCCTATCTTTAGGTGAACTTGGATGGTAATAACTTATAACTCATTGGAAAGTTATCTTATACTTGCAGGAGAACTCTTGGATGCTGGTGTAAATCGCAGTCCCAGTGCTTATCTAAATAATCCTGCTGCAGAGAGAAGAAATTATAAGTATAATGTTGATAAAGAAATGACTCTTTTAAAATTTGTTGATGATGAATGGGGACCTGTTGGATCCTTCAATTGGTTTCCTACTCATGGAACATCAATGAGTCGGACAAACTCATTAATTAGTGGGGATAATAAAGGCGCAGCTGCACGTTTCATGGAAGATTGGTTTGAGCAAAAGGGTTATGAAAAAACTGATTCTGCTAAAATTGAAGATGGCGGTTTGCCACGAAAAATATCAAATATAATTCCTGGCCTTCACAATAACAGTACGATGCTTACAGTTTATCTTTTGATGTAATGCATCTGTTGTTGAAAATTTTGAATTTTTTTCCAAAACAGATCTAAGAAGCAATATAAATATCCTAATTGATAGCATGAATATTTAGTTTTATATGTCAGGTGGATCCATCATTTGGAATGCAAATAGTTTTTGAAACTCATGATGACATTTTAGATATTTCATTATCTGTTTCATACTTTGGTTGAAGAACAAAACAAATGTTTACCATGTTAGTAACCAAATGTATTTTATTGTTTGCTGGACTGATCGAGGGTTTTATTCAGTTCCCACGTGCTAGTTGGGAAGTAACAATCGGTTAATGCCTGGTCCTATAAACTTTGGCAATCATTTATTTTGTGTATGTCTTCAATCATAGCTCAAATCAAGTTATTGCTATAATGCAGTTTTGGCTGCATTTGATATGTCTACATGCTTTTGGCTGCCAATTTTTGTTGTACTTCGGTAATGTAGGCTGGGTGACATGATATTGTTATGCAAATTTGAGGGTAGATCCTTTGCATTCAAATGTTACAAGCTTTTCAGTTTGAAATTCCTAACATTTATTGACTATTGTCTACATACAAGAGAGAGAAAGATGAAAATATGCAAGCTATAGCTTAGTGAGCAATTATTGAAAGAATGATGTCTTACTTTGTGTGATTGATGTTATTTAACTAGGTCAGCAGTAGTAAGAGATCTGAAAATTATATTCTGATCGAAAATTCATTGGTGCAGAGCATGAATTACTTGAAATTGCTACCTCCTTTCAGTCTTCTCCTGGTATATCAGCAACGAAAACATCAAGTGTTTCTAAACGTGTGAGAGCTGCTCATAGGAAGGATGGCAAACCTAGATTTGTGTCTGCATTCTGCCAATCAAATTGTGGAGATGTTAGTCCAAATGTGCTTGGAGCATTTTGTATAGATACTGGATTACCTTGTGACTTCAATCATAGTACATGTGGAGGCAAGAATGAATTATGTTATAGCCGAGGACCTGGGTAATTATTTATTACATACTCATCGTCACAAGTGCATTGAAATTCCATCTAAGCCTTTGGAAGTACTAAATTGCATTATTTATGTGATAGCTACCCAGATGAATTTGAAAGTACACGCATTATTGGAGAAAGACAATTTAGAAAAGCAGTAGATCTTTTTAATACTGTGGATGAAGAGATTGAGGGGGAGGTTGATTTTCGACATACCTATATAGATTTCTCCCAACTTGAGGTGACCGTTTCCAATGAAGGAGATTCTGAGGTTGTAAAGACATGCCCTGCTGCAATGGGGTTCGCATTTGCAGCAGGAACAACAGATGGACCTGGAGCTTTTGATTTTACACAAGGTGATGATAAGGTAATCATTCTTTCATACTGCATTCTCCTAGACAGTAATCTTAAATACTTGTTATGGTGTATGCTCATTATTTGTTTTGATATGTGTCAGGGAAATCCTTTCTGGAAGCTGGTGCGTGACTTGCTCAAGACACCAACCAAGGAACAGATTGACTGTCATCAACCCAAACCCATTTTGCTAGATACTGGTGAAATGAAGAAACCGTATGATTGGGCTGTAAGTTACTCATAAATCCTTTCCCTTGGTTCAGTTTAGTTATCTCCTCTGTGTTGATTGAATAAGGGCTCTTTTTAGCAATTAGCATTCACATTCCCCAGTCTTGCCTTTGGGTAGACTTTGTCGTGTGAATTATCCCATGCCAGTGACATCCTTTTTTCCATGACCTCTGTTTTATGTGGAAATTGCTGAGTTGGATAACTATTCAAAGCTGTTGATCTGAATTAAGTTTCATGTAGAGGTTGAAATAAGATGAAGTAATGTACATATTTATTGTAGATAAGAATTTTGTACACATGAGGATCTATTATTTAATTACATAAGTTATATTTACTGATTCACTGTGTTTTAAATTTTGTCCCAAATGCTCTTTGTTAACAGAAGTTCTGTGTACAAGTTTTACTGTATAGCTTTCAGATGGTATGTGCTAACAAAAAGTAACCTTTACTTAGATGAAGCTTTCATGTTCGTGCTAATTTTGCAGCCTTCAATACTTCCGATTCAGATCATTCGAATTGGGCAATTGGTCCTTCTTTGTGTACCAGGAGGTACCAACTTGTCTCCTGCTGTCTTGTTTTATTGTAATATGCTATAGTTGGATACTCTACCCTTCATGTTCTCAACTGTTGTTTCGATTATGACAGAAACTATTGCATATAAGTACATATAAATTTTATTGGATAACTATTATTGATATAATGTTATTCGTGGATTGGTTTTGCTTATACTTTTTGCAGCTTATTTATTCATTTAAGTGTTTGTGAAACAACTTATTTTGGTCCTTATATCTCTTTTTGGTGCTTCATTCTTGTCTGCCACTGTTTTCATTTGACAGAATTCACAACAATGGCTGGGAGGCGTCTTCGAGATGCAGTGAAGACAGTGCTAACTAGTGAAGAAGATTTTGACTTCGATGACATTTACATTGTTATAGCAGGGTTATCTAACACCTATTCACAGTACGTCACTACATATGAAGAGTACCAGGTGCAGAGATACGAGGTCAGTTGTAAGAGCATGAAACTCACAACAAACATTTGATTACCATGTAGCAATGACAATTGAAACACTAACAAAAGTTTATTGTTAGTGATCCAAATTCTTAATCACATCACTCTATTGACAAAAGATAGATGGAATCAGACAGGGTTTTTGAGCATTTTTGAAAATGTGTTCCTACTTCAAGAGCTAGCCAACTAAACATTCTGCACAGTTGTGCTAATATGCAAGGACATATCGATAATGTTACAGTGACAATAGCACATTTTTAGGGGCTATTCGGTATAACTTTCTGACTTGACCTTTCTTGTTGTCAGGGTGCTTCTACACTATATGGTCCCCACACACTGAGTGCATACATTCAGGAGTTTAAGAAACTTGCAGTGGCCCTCATCAACGATGAACCAGTAGAACATGGACCTCAACCCCCTGATCTCTTTGAGAAGCAAATAGGCTTGCTTCCACCAGTTGTGGTGGATGGAATTCCCCTTGGAGTAAATTTTGGGGATGTTTGTGCTGATGTGCCACAGAACTCAAGCTTCAAAAGTGGTGAGATGGTGACTGCTTCATTTTGGTCTGCTTGTCCTCGCAATGATCTTATGACTGAAGGCACCTTTGCACTGGTGGAGTTTCTCCAAGAAAAGGATGATTGGATTCCTGCATATGATGATGATGATTTCTGTCTACGCTATAAGTGGTCAAGGCCTTACAAACTCAGTTCAAGGAGTAGAGCAACATTGGAGTGGAGGATACCAGAGGGTGTGACTCCTGGTGTATACAGATTTAGACATTTTGGTGCAGCAAAAGGTTTATTTGGATCAATTCATCACTTTACAGCTTTATCCAGTGCCTTTGTAGTAACATAAACTAAAGGGAGGCATATTCTTGCTTGCAGACGATACTATAGTTATGATTTGTCTTGCTGAACTTTAACAGAATCCCTTCAATCCTAATGAAGGTTGATATGATCACCTTTATGCTTTTTCCCTCAAATTCTGCAGCTAACCTTAATTTTTATACCATATCTCTGGTATAAAAGGTATTATCAGCAATGTATAATGTAACATAAAGTACATATTTTATTTTTACTTTTATTATAAATGAAGGAGGCATATTTGAATTGGTAAATGATAATTTCTTTTAAATATAAAATATTTTGTAGTTTTCATATATTAAATATCATTTTTACAAATTCTTCTGAAAAGATATTTTAATGGTATGGTATTTAGTTAATTTTATCATATTTTCCAAGAATATTGTTACTATTGAGATAATGGATGTGTCTAATTGTTTTACTATTAGACCTTCGAAATTGGGTTGTGGTCAAGTGAACTGGTAATGAGTGCATAAATGAGAGTAACTTATATTAGCTTTAGATAAATAAGATGCTTGTTTGTAGGATAACATTTACTTTGATTGTAAATTTTAGGTTTAATACATCATTTGGTCCCTACTTTTGGGGGTTTTGTTCAAAATGGTCCCACCTTTTGAAAAAGTTCAGTAAGGTCCCATATTTTGGTTTAAAATGTTCAATTCGGTCCTTTTCGTGGACGGCGTTAGAAACTTAACGGTGGTGGTGTCACTGTGGCAAAATTTGAGTGAGCTGTTATGTTTTGATGGTTACGTGGCACTGTAAATTGGGGAAATATCCTAAATTGGGGACCCTAGAGTGGAAATTAGAATCAGAAGCCCTAAATTGGGGAAAAATCCCCAATCTTCTCCTGCTTCTTCTTCATCTCTACTCCCTGCAACCTCATCCAGACTAGACACACCTTCTTCACATTCCGAACCAGCACTGCAGCAACTGCGGTGAACACTCTTCTTCTACTTCTTTTTCTCCTTCGCTAGACGATTGATTTCAGCTTTTGCTTGGTTCAGCAGCCACTCCACGGTATTGCTAGCTTTGTCAAAGCCCAACATATCTTGCAAACCAAAAAACCTCCTTGCAACATTAAGGGAAAGTCTCATTCTCCTATCCCTCAGTCCCCTGCGGTGCTGTTGGAGGGAAATATGAGAAAGACTAATCGGTTGAGGGTCGGGGTTTTGATATTGGGGATTTTTCCCCAATTTAGGGTTTCTGATTCAAATTTAGGGTTTAGGGTTATTAAAACTTTAGGGTTTTCCCCAATTTAGGATATTTCCCCAATTTACAGTGCCACGTAACCATCAAAGCATAACAGCTCACTCAAATTTCGCCACAGTAGCACCACCACTGTTAAGTTTCTAACGCCGTCCACGAAAAGGACCGAATTGAACATTTTAAACCAAAATATGGGACTTTACTGAACTTTTTCAAAAGGTAGGACCATTTTGAACAAAACCCCCAAAAGTAGGGACCAAATGATGTATTAAACCTAAATTTTATATTAAAATCCACTTTTGTTATATTTTCTTTCATTACTAAAATAGGAGTAATTAGTAAATTGTGCATTTTGCCATATTAAGTCTAATAAGGTCTATCAGGTGTAGATAGAAGGAAGCAAGAAGATATTTCAAGTCATCGAAGCCCATAAAAAGTAATAAGGATCAACTTATGCTTTAGCTGGAATTAGCACATGTTATGAATTTTTTTTATTTAGTTTTATATCACAGGCAACAATAAATAAGGAAATTCTAGGTAAGTTAGCCACTAAATATAAATTTAATCACTACTGACACATTTAATTTAAATGGATTATGAGTGTGAAGATTTGCTTGTATGATATAGGAGTAGATTAAACACATAATATAAAAGTACTAATAGACATACAATTGTCGAAGATAAGATAAAAGCAAGACAATTACCTCCAGATATCTGTAACACTTTTCGGAGTTTTCTTGACTAATATTGGTGAGACTATTTTTTAATAGATATCAATCAGACTTCTTTCATTAAAATTTTGTAGTAATTATTTTTTCTCCATGATAGAAATAGTATTTCTAGACAAGAAAATTAAAATTTAATAAAGTTGAGTCGTCTTCCTTATCTAAATAAATATTTGATAAATAAATAATTTAAAGTGTATTTGGAGTTACTGAAAATTGTAAATTTTACTTTCTATTCCCATAGGCCTCAAATAGTAGTCCAGAAGCATCTTGATTTAAGACATTAAGTCTGAAGAAGAAAAACCCTTCTGATCAAATACTCAAACACCTGCATACACAAAAGAGTTTAATGATGCTAACTATATATGGAAATTAATTTGATGTAAATGGTACACCTTTAGGAACAGTTGAAATCTCACTTCTTGATCAGACAAAACAGGCTCTATTCAAGCATTATTGCTTAAATACGATTAACTCCTATAAAAATATGCCTAACTGCTTATTGAAAATTAAAGGCACAAATGCTATGCTGAAAAAACAGCAACAGAATTTAAGAAAACAATTATGGTTGTCATATATTTTTACAAAACCCCTACTTGCTTTTCTTACGTTCCTATGTAGCAACAGCATTCCAACCCATGTCATGCATTAGGTTCTGCATCTTCTGCCGAAATGTGAGATGTATACTTCAATGGAAAAAGTAGTGGTCATCCAGAAAAAGAAGATTGAGTGGTTGGCGATTAGTCAAAAAGAAGGGATAATATGAAACCCAAGAATCCTCTCAGGCAGAGGATTTCTCTCAGTTGACTTCAACAGAGATAATCTGCAGCCCACAAACATAGGAGTAGAGAAGTAAAACATGGAT